TTAAAATCTCTGACTCCCTGTCCTTGGGGGCTGGCACCATCTGTGGGCTCAGCCCATCTGGTTTTCCAGACGACCTAATAAAGTCATAGTTCTTTACCCCTTTTGGCCTCATGCATTTCCCTTTGGCGACCCTAACAACACTCAGAAAGCCTGTAACTTCAGGAAGTCAGGCCACCCCTGGCCTTCTCCTTCTTGGACAGCCCTCTGTGTGGTCCCAGAGGGAGCACCCAGATCCCTCTCTCCTCCCCTGCTTGGTCCCCACCAGCGGCTCCGGGCTTTATTTCCCAGCCGCCCTCTGTCACTCTTGGCTTGTAGTCTGCGTGCCACAAAACAATATTATATAGCTGAAACTTTAAAAAAAATCCACATTGTTGTTTTTAAAAGTCCTTTGTTCATTCTTGTTTCCCTCACCATGAATTTCTCTTTTTCCCACGTTGTTCCAATTCCTTACTGTCACTTTCTCCTTTTCACCTTTTTCTCTCTCGCCTCCTTTTCCTTGACATAATACCTTTGTGTCAAGAACTCAATTCCATGTTCTTTCTTACAAAGAAAATTTAAGCATTTATTTTCTTCTTGGCTCACAACCTCTTTTTTGCATATCTGATGATTAATTAATAGCAAAGATACAGCCATTGACGATGGGTCTAACTCTTCTGCATACAAAAGATCAACCAAAGGCTTTGGAAATTTGATATTGACTCCCATCCTCAACAGTAAGTGGAATGGAGTAGTGTAGATATGATTTGCTCACTGACATTAATTAAGCCATATTTGTTAGCAAGTCGGAACACACGGAATCTGAATTTTTAAAAAAAATCTATAATAATACAAGCATAATATGCTAATTAGACCGGACATCCTTCCGGATGAAGCCAGGGCTGCAAGCAGGGGAGGAAGGCCTACTCTTGCACGAATTTTGTGCATTGGGCCTCTCGTATATATATAATAGTTTTATTAACTGTTCATTTTTTATTTCTAACTACTCTCTAATTCAGTATGACATAGAAGATCCAAATGATGGTGTTATCTTACTTGAAAGACACTGAAAAGACAGACATCCAGACAATACGGAAGGAAGTAAGCAGTTTTCATTAAGTGTGAAATTGACTTGTGCTGATAAAAAGGGAAGAGTCTGGGGAATCTCTCTTCCATCACTTAACACATTATAAATAAGGGATCTGAGAGATGTACCAGAAAAGCCAGGAAGGCATGTATTTCTTCCTCCAGTTGCACATCTTGCTTCAATAAATGTTAAGCAAAAAGCAATCATGAGAAGAGAGGGAGGTTAAATTGTATTATTGGAAAATTACTTTCTTTTTTGCTGCATTTTGGAAAACAGAACACAGTGGAGAAGCGCTTATCTAATCCTAATCCAAGAGGCAAGAAATGTGGGATTTGCAAGGAGGCTGAGTCCAGAAGCAGTGGGCAAGAAGATCTGGCCTGAGCTTGGAACTAGCTGCCGAGCTGGCTGTAGTGGACTACGTTGTGGTATTTGGGGCAAGGGATTAATTATATAGTGTTTCTCAGAGAGTAACCCAGGCATTTTTTCCCCCCTGATTAAAGCATAGAGAATAGTAGACTTCATTGTACTCCCTTAATGTAAAGACAAAATCTGTAAAAATGTAATTATTCATATGACATCATAAATATGTTTATTTATTAATAGCATTGATATTAATAACAAACGGTCATCTTAAATATTTAGCTTAGAAAAAGAAATATCAGTAGACAGACAACATGCCATCAAGGGTTTGGAGTCAGTTAAATCTAAAAATCCTTTTACTGAGTCATAGTAAGTGGTTCACTCAGTCCTGATTACTTAACTTTCTAAGCCTGGTTATCTTCACCTTTTAAACAAGAATAATAATCCCATTATAGCAGGATGTTGGTGACAATACGAATATGTACTCAGCTCAATACACAGTAACTATGAACAACATTCTTTTTGATTTTCTTTGTAGAAACTATGACTTGGTTTATCCTTTAGTTTTTATTTTCTCTGCTGAGGATATTAAGGTGTTTTTTTGGGGGGGGGCGCGGGGTGGTGTGGAGAGAGGAAATGCATGTATATATTACCTGTGAACATAAACCTATACAGGGGAAAATTTTAAGAAATTTCTCAACCAGCCCTGGCCAAGGTTGCTCAGTTGGTGGGAACATCATCCCATACACCAACAGGTTGTGGGATCCCAATCAGGGAACATAACTAGGTTCCATCCCCAGTCAGGGGTGTGTGCAAGAGGCAACCAATCTGTTTTTCTCTCACATCGATGCCTCTCTCTCTCTCTCTCTCTCCCTCTCTCCCTCCTTTTTTTTTAGAATCAATGGAAAACATAGCCTTGAGTGAGGATTTTAAAAAAGGAAATTTCTCAACCAGAAAATACAAAATATTGCTTTTTTGATGCTCTCAGTTTGACCATTACATTATGAAGCTGTACAGAGCAGATATAAGATATTTGCCTTCTCTGGGCAAGTCTTCCATTTGAGAAGTAGCCAAAACAAATATATACATAGGATATGAAGGTAAAATAAGCAACAACAGATCGCTTTACTATTCGTTGATGATTTCTAATAAGCTACTTTGAAATCTAAGGAATTTTATTTTGTTTCATTTTGGTAAAGCTAATACATAATCTCAGAGCAGAGGAGACCATAAAGGTGGTGGTGCCAAATCCCTCATCCTGATTTTACCATCTGCTGCCAAGTGGAAAATATCTGATTCAAAAAAGAGCCTCTACTGGGGAAAAAATGTTCCCCCAATGCCTGAAGCCTGAAGCAAAGGAAGGATGAAACAATGGTTTTCAAACTCTTTAATGACATGAAAATCTAGTAAAAAATAGATATTTATATCTGGATGCATACACACACATGCGCCCACACATGCACATATGCACACGGAATAAAAAAGATTTCACAATCAATATATACTCAATTTTCCTGAGTGGAACCATTTGATATATTTAGTTCCATTTTAATTATGTTTCATGCCGAAATACAGTTCAGTGTCCATCTCAGTGTGGAATCTAAACTCGTGAATCCAAGTGAGGAGTAAGCATATTATTTTTCTGTTCTGATGAACCACCCTTAGAAAAGCACGTGTGAATTTATGTCTTTCTTTCCCCTTCTTTTGGCGTCTACTTGAGAAAAGTGAGAATAACTTAGTATTTTTTCTTTTTTTTTTCTTAATATGCACTTTTCAGAGCTTAACTCACAACTTAACATACATCCTGAACAGGAAATCTTCTCAAACAACTTACTCTCTTATCTGATCCTCAACCCAGGGCTGGATTCACTGTCTTGACTTTTATGATTTCAAAACACCTTGTGCATTTATTTCTCCCTCAGTGCTTTGCCATATGGTATGATGATGATATGATGATGATGATGAGTATTTATCTCTGTATCTGTGTGTGTGTGTTTCCCCACTATATGACCTTTTCAAGGTAGGAAGTAGGTCACTAGGGAAGACGATAAATACTAATTTTATGATCAAACAGAAAGGGTTAAAATGATATCTGATAACTGATCTACCCTGGGTGAGAATTTTTTCATTGTTGTTTTACACTAGTATAATGGTATTCTACCCACCTCTCCTGTATGCCAGCAAGCTGCTATATATTCTTATTATGTTTCTCAGAGAGTGTATCTAAGACAACAACAACAAAATAATCTCTTTCAACAAACCCTGAGAAAATTATTCATATATAAGTGAAATATCAGAAAAGCCAGCACAAATAGGTGATCTCTATAAGAATGACCATTGTCCAATAAAGTGAATCCTGATCAATATATATATATAAATCTTCCCTGTGTTATTGGGATTTATTTTTATATTTATCAGTTTTTAAAATAGTCAACACACTGATATGCATTATTTAATGTGATAATAATTTTAAGTTTACTAAGGAGGTTTTATATATTTGTAGGGGAAAAATGACGCTTAAACCAATCCCTGCTTTTTATTCAGTAGAATTCACACACACAAAATAAATATTCATTAAGAAAATACATTCCCGGCTTTGGTGATTGTCAAAACCACAGCGGTTTTTCCACGCCTCAACTATGAGGTTCCCATACTAAAAAATCAGGTGTAAAAGACTACTTCTGTGTACTTTCTGGTTACCAGAAGCATTTTGACTCCTGCTAACCTTCCTTGGCTCCAGCTCCAGCTGTGTGTGAGTGTGGAGGGGAGGTGTTGAGTCTTGGCACAGAGTTGAGCTGGGTTTGACTCTGTCAGTGTACCACTGGTTTCAGATTTCTCTAGTGTTACTCTATGCTTAAGGGGGGTTGATAGGGGTCTGTTTTTTCCCCCACACTTACTCAATATCTGCCTCACTCTCAGTTTCAGGTCTTACCTTGGTGCTATTCTTCAGAGATGGTCTTTCTCCATGTTCTTGTCCCTCTCCCAGAGCAGAGAGCTATCACCTGTGCTTATTGACTCAATGGTGGAGAATAATGACAGCTGGTAAGGGCCTATTCCTCTTCTGAATAAGCCTGAGTCTTAGGCAGGCACTTGTTGGGGAGGGGACATGTGTGTAGAGTTGGGAGACCCTCTCAGTGATTCTGTGATCCTATAGCACTCCCAGCTATATGTTTGTCCCAGCATAAATGACTGCCCCTCTCCCAAGAGTAGAGGTGTGTGTGTTTTTCCTGTTCATTTCCCAGATACAATGGGTTTTCATGAGCAAAAAAAGAAAAGAGGGGGAAAAAATGAGAGAGAGGGAGAACTTATTGGCATGGACAAGTATGGTGATTGCGGGGTGAGGGGAAATAGGGATGGAAGGTGGAACATGACAATCTTCTCAGGGTTTGTTGAGATTATTTTGTTGTTGTTGCCTTCGATACACTATCTAAAAAACATAAGACTATATAGCAGCTTGTTTTATAAGTGTAAAACATCAATAAATAGAGGGAATAAATGGTGATGAAAAATTAAATTATTTTTTAAAGTAAAATGCTTTTTTCTTTTTCATTTTCTTTTGTGTGTGCCTCTTCTGCAGAAGCTTAAGCCTTTCATTCTATATTAGAGATAGTGGAGATGATTTCCTCAATGGCTGCTGGTCAGCTCCCCTAGGCCTGTACCACAGGAGGTGCTGTCTGAGCACTGTGGCCAGTGTTTTTGTTGAGCGCTTGAAGAGGTCCCTGAGAATAACCTGTGAGTATGCATTTTCCTCGTGTCTGCATCCTCCTTCCCAAGGTTTCATATTTTGTCACCAGCCCATACTCCACTTAAAGGAATTTGTTAAAAAGTTTAGCTGAATTTGTATTTGCGTCTAGCAGTGTCTGTCCCAGGTAGGAAAATGCTTTGGGCTTCATCTGTCCTGAGGTGACTGTCTTTTCATAGATTGGGTTAGTTCATGGGGCTGTGATCTTAGCTCTTTGGTGAGTGCAGGAAGGGTTGTGAATTTACTGATTGCCCAGCATCTTCTGGGTAAAAGCATTGTTTAATAGGTAAGAATGACGTTACTTCTAGTTTTCTACATTCTAGAGACCTGGTGCACAAATTTGTGCACTAGTGGGGTTCCTTGGCCTAGCCTGTGGATCAGACTGAAACTGGCTCTCCAACATTCCCCGAGGGGTCCCAGATAGCAAAAGGGCGCAGGCCAGGCCAAGGGACCCCACCGGTGCACGATCGGGGCCGAGGAGGGACATGGAAGGTTGGCCAGCCGGGGAGGGACCACGGGACCCATCTTGCTTAGTCCTGATAAGCCAGACCCCAAAAGCAAGCTAACCTACCAGTCTGAGCATCTGCCCCCTGGTGGTCAGTGCACATCATAGCGAATGGTTGAGCTGCCTTAGAATATCATTAGCATATTACACTTTTATTGATTGAACGGACAACTGGACGACCAGACACTTAGCATATGAGCTTGTATTATATAGGACGGAGTTTCCATTTCTTCAACAAAAAAGCTTGCTACCATGAAGGATTCCAGAACCAAATTCTCTCACAGTTAAAGTAGGGTTATTTTATGATCTTTGTAGCCATGATATTCAAATATTACTACTATTTGATATGGAGATATTAATATAACATGTGCAAAAGTAGTGTTATAATATTTAATACTACCAATATATTTTATAGAAGCCACAGTAATAGTCTTTTATGGCCATGCTAGCTTATTAGTAACACCTGTCCTAACATATTTTTGGGACACAACATCTCTTTCCTATTTTGTATAACTGTTGGAAATCAGTGCAATGTTTGTTCATGTACTTATGCAGATTCAGACCTATTGTTTTAAATGGCCAATATATACACTTTTGTGTAGAAACAAATGTTTCTCTCTTAATTTTTAAATTATTGCTATCTTAAATTTACAACTGGATACCAAATATATTACCTGCATATATTGTTTTAAAATTATGATTTTTTCTTTAACATTAATAGTAATGCTTTTATCAACTGTTAAAAATAAAATATTAAGATGGTTAAATGTGGAAAGTTGACTTTTTGGAATATTTCTACTGTAACCAGTTTTGGGAATATGTAGTTGATTTTCTCAAATCCTCCAAAAGTTAACAATGACATTTTGACTAGAAGTATCAAGGGGAACACTCTGTGGAGATATGAATGTCTAACCAGTATGATGTACTCCTGAAGCTAATGCAGAATAATATTGAATATAAGCTGTAATTGAAAAATAAATCTAATAAATAAAATATAACAAAAGGAATTGATACTTTTGGAAAGCTTATATTAAACATTCTTCCCAGTTATTTAAACTCTATGTTTTTAGTGTCACATCATCTGAATTTTTCTAGATTATAGCACTTAGGGCCATTGTGTGAATACTGTCGGTGTATATAGATTTAATTATAAGCATTTCCATTTTTCCAGAAAAGCAACATAAACACTGTCCGTCAGAAGAATCCTTTATTCTCTGCAAAGTCCAAATGGAAACAGTTGCTAATTATGTTACTTAATGAGCCTTATATTAAAATTTGTATGAAAAATATATGCTGGAATTGGTATCAGGGAAAAGAATATTCTTCCAGAAATAATTGGTATGTTTTGTTGTTTGGACAAATACAGCAATATATACCTTTATATTTCCTTTCTGCTTTTGTTTACAAAAAACTATAACTTGACCAAAGTGTTGGTACTCTGTATTTATTTGCTTTTCTGTTAAATATTTGAATGAGTTATTTTTACTTGTCTATAATATTTATTTCAACATTACAAATCACCATTATTTTTGCAGTTAAAAGGAAATTATTTTAAAATATGTGATAATCAGTTGAAAGCTTCCTTTTATTTAAGCATATGCAGTTGAGATGTCATTGATGTATTGCTTAACTGTAATTTATGTGTGTCTTTTGAAGGATACAATCATTTAGTTCTTACTGTTTTAAATGCTTGTTTTATGATGAGGAGCATTTAATCTGAGGGTTGGCTCAGAAATGCTCTTATTACATTTTTTAAAAGTATGATCACCACTGATAGCATAATAGAACAAATTTTATTTTAAGACAGTAAGGTTTAGTGTAGTCATTGGAGGCAAGCTCTCTCACAGGAATTTCTACATTTGATCCTAACTCCAATTATTATTTGTTTTCTACTTAATCTCATTAAGGCTTAGTTTCTACACACATAAAATAGTACTATGATAATAGTACCTGCTATTAAAGCCTGTTGTGAAGAAAAGTACAAATTCATGCAAAACACTAAGCATTATATCTGGCACTTAAATTCTCGGGAATATTAAGGAAGTGCCACAAATTGGACAGGGAGAACAACTAAGTGAGGTCTCACAGTAACTTCAAAATCTATTTAACTTCTTTATGCAATTTTTTCCTCCAAACTGAATATTAATGGGGAGGGTTAACCTCCCTCTGATGTAAAAATTTATATTTTAATATAAAAATTTCAAAATACAGAAAAACAAGTTGCAAATATAAATGATTATTTTCTCCACTAAGAGTTAATCAGTTAATATTTTGTGGTTTTATTTTCAATTTATTTGTTATAAATTAAAGAATATAAACATGATTCATTGAAATCATAGGAATAAATAGTGCAATGTGTGATAGCCCCGGGGGATGTATAATGTGAAAAAAAGGAGGCTTCAGGTTGCTTAAAAATCTGTGGTCAATGGAAGAAAATATTTGCAAATCATGTATCTGGTAAGGGGTTAATATCCAGAATATATGAGCAACTTTTACAACTCAAAACAAAAAAGCAGAACCTAATTAAAAATGAGCTGAGGACTTGAAACTGCCAATTCATATAACTAAGTCATTTTACCCTTTAAGTGATAGTTTCCTACTTAAAAACAGATTTAATAGTTTTGTCAATTGCGTGGGCATAAAAAGGCAGCGTCCCTCTTTGTCCATTGAAAGATATACTACACCTATATCCAGGTATATGCAGAGTATTGGTTCACTTCTATTTGGCTGAAATGCCAGGACAAATATTTTGTTAAACTCAGATAACTCTTCTGGATACTAATTAATACAAGGGAATTTGAATTCTTTCTTATTCTGTGGAATCCTAAGAAGGCTATTGAGCTTAAAATAGTGCCAATGCAGAGTTATTCCCTTCCCCAGGATCAATAACCTGTTCAGTCAATGATATAATTGGGATACATATGGATCAAAAAATGTAATTTTCAGGAATTTTAGAAATCTTTAACTGTGAAGTGAGTTTTGGAATTATTTTAGGAACTGAGAATTCAGTTAACTTTTTAAGCTGAGGCTCCCAGTCATGTTTTTAAGATAAGATAGGTTAAGCTTGTTGTATCATATATTGTGTATTATGATGTCAATATTACCACTGACCTGCCTGACAGTAATATTATATGGACAGCCCACTGAATAGCTAGTATATCTTTATTTCAGTCTTTTTATTCTATTACTAAAGCTATAATTCATTGCTTGAATGGACAAACATAAAATATTACATAAAACTCAAGTTTAAATGCAAAGACCTTTTCTATTTTACAGTTAACATTGCTATCTGCAAAGCTAAAAAGTTATTTTCCAGACCAGACCTTGAAGCTTCTATTCATCATTTTCTTAACTCAATCTGCCTTTTAGCATATTTCCCCCTGTCAATGAGTTCTCCTAGCATTTTACTTTGAGCAGTGCTTGCATTTATTTTTGACAGAGGTTGGCCTTATTACAAAACCATCCATTTAGATCAATAAACTTCACATAACAGTTGTTGACTAAGCCAATATCCTCTCCTTTAAGACTTTGGGATACAATGCAAGTACTGCATGTTTTTGCCACCTGACATTTTAATTTCACAGAGGGGTCACATAGACATTTTAGACCTGATTTCTACCACCTTGTGGACTAGTTCAGTCACCACAAGTTGTTGCTTTGAATATCAGAGGTCAAAGGAGTGAATTGTATTTTTAAAAATTCATTCTCAGTACAGCCCAATGCGTTCATTCTGAATATCTAGAAATGTTTATATCAATGTATATGGAATGACTGAATTACAAATCTGGGGTGCGACTTAACCTCTCTGTCTCCTTCACTAACACCCCATTACATGCTGATTCCCCACATTCACTGTTTCCTAAATATCCTACGATCCTTATCATTATCTTCTTTTCATAGCCACTTCCGCCATAGGACACCATCGCACTGTCACCGGGACTATTGAAACATTCTCCAAACTAGTATTTGTGCTGCAGTGCTGGCTTCTTGCAATCTGTTCTCTACAGTGACATCAAAAAGAGCTTTCTAAGAACAGAATGCAGGTTGGATCTCCCATACTTTAATAGGACATAAAATATGCTCTATGTTGTGGAACATACCTAATTAGAAATTCAGTCTTTCATACATTTTGCTGCATATTTCATTTAAATGACATAAAATAACAGTAATAAAAGTAATGATAACAAGAACTGTTAACAATATTTTGGCACTTTGTATTGCCATAGATATGCTAAGCTTTCTGCATGAATTTTCTTATGTACTCACATGTTTAAGAGGTTGAATGACTCGCCCAATCTTAAAGAGCAGAGTCAGTATTTAACCTAATTCCTGGCACAAAAGCCAAATCTTAATGACTACGCTATTCAGTTTATACATTGCATTCATCCTCTACTATCTTTCATATTTTAGGACTCAGCTTGTGAGTAACCGCTCTGTGAAGCCTTTCTTAAAATATGCCTGTTGGTTCTGGCCAGGTAGCTCAAT